GGAGAAGCTGACAATGGGAAAGTGAAGGAGGAAGGACCAGTGCCCTTCCTGAATGCAGCATTTGAGGGTTTCCTGGGGATTTGTTACTCTAGTTTTGGGGAATCATTCCCTTTGGGCCCACCTGATATAACTGCTAAAATAGCTGAGTAGATTGTGCAGTGCTTGCAAAGGTCTAGTAAGAAGGCCATGCGCTTATGCAAAAAAAAAAATTAGCTTCTTTTTCTTCAATGTCTCAGGGTCAAAGGAGTCCCAGTGTTTCAGAATGTACCCAGAGGAGTATAGGCTGAAAATGATCATCTAAAAAGAGAAGCAAGAAATAGGCATCCCTTTTGTCTCCTTCCTTTTGGTGTGACCGAGGGTGGAGAGGGAGACAGAGAGGGCGCCACTGCTGTTCTCCCTCCTGGGTTCCTGGGTTCCAGCATCTTGTTAAACATGCCACCCGTGTTTGCAGGTGTGACCCCCCCAGACATGTAACCAGAGGAATGAAGTGATTGGGGTTAGTCACACTTACCCATGTGACTCTAGTCCTGCACTTGGGACTTCCTAGACTTGTGTGACCTGGGTGGCTCCCAGAAAAATGGTGGCTCCCCACTGAGCCCTGCCCTAACAGATTTCTGAGTTGTTTTTTTTTAAACACATAATTGAGACACTATATACAACTGACCCACTTAAAGTGTGTAATTTAATGGTGTTTAGTGTATTCAGAATTGTATAACCGTCACGGTCAATTTCAGAGTGCCTTCATCACCTCCCCAAAAGAAACTACTCAGTTGCAGTGAATCTCCATTTCCTCCCAAAGTTTTTCTCAGTCCTAGGCAACCACTCATCTACTTTCTAATAGATTTGCTTATTCCAGATACTTCATATAAATGGAATCATACAATATGAGGCCTTTTGTGACTGGCTTCTTTCACTTACCGTGCTTTTAAGGTTCGTCCATACTGTAGATGTTTCATAGTTAATTCCTTTTTATTTTTGAAAAATATTCCATTGTACCTACAGATATTTTGTTTATCCATTCATCTATTGATTGACATTTGGGCAGTTTCCACTTTCTGGCTATTATGAATAATGCTGCTATAACATTCATGTAATTTTTAATAAGGACATATATTTCATTTCTTCTAAGTATATACCTAGGGAGTGAAATTTCTGAGTCATATAAATGCTTAATCTTTTAAAAACCTGCCAGAATGTTCCAAAATGGTTACACCATTTTATAGTCCCAACGGCGGTGTACTAAGGCTCCCATTTCTCCAAACCCTCAACACTTTTGTTATTTTCTGTATTTTATTGACTGATCATCCTAGTGCTTAGTGGATTTGAAGGGGTTTTGTTTCTCCCCGGTAACTACTGATTTTGAGCAGCTTTCCATGTGGTTAATGACCACCTGTATAACCTCTGTAGAAAAACCTCTATTCCGATCATTTGCCCATTGTTTAACTGGAATTTTTCTTTCTTTGAGGCAGGTTCTTGCTCTGTTGCCCAGGCTGGAGTGCAGTGGTGTGATCTTGGCTCACTGCAGCCTCTACCTCCTGGGCCCAAGAGATCTCCCACCTCTGCCTCTCAGTTGGCTGGGACCACAGGTGCCTGTCACCTTACCGGACAAATTGTTTTGGTATTTTTTGTAGAGACAGGGTTTCGTCATGTTGCCCAGGCTGATCTTGAACTCCCGGGCTCAAGTGATCTGCCTGTCTGGCTCTCAAAATGCTAGGATTACAGGCATGAGCCACTGCGCCTAGGTAGGTTTTCATTTTTATTAAGCTATAAGAGCTCCGCATCTATTCTAGCTACAAGTTCCTTAACAGATAGGTAATTTGCAAAACACTATCCCATTCTGTGGCTTTTTTCACTTCCTTGATATTGTTCTCTGAAGCATGAACATTCTAAACTTTGATGGTGTTGACTTTTTCTTTTGCCACTTGTGCTTTTGGTGTCAATATCTAAGAAACCACTGCCTAATCCAAAGTCACACTTACTCCAATATTTTCTTCTAAGAGTTTTACCGTACACACTTAGATGGCTGATCATTTGAGTTACTTTTTTGTGTGTATGGTATGGAGAAGGGGTCCAACTTCATTCTTTTGCATGAGGACATCCAGATGTTGAAGATGATTCTTTTCCCTGCTGAACTGTCTTGATAATCAACTCTAAAATCAGTAAGAGTTTACTTCTGGACTCTCAGTTCTGTCCAGTTGCTCTATCTACTCTTATGCCAGAACCACTGTCTTTATTACTGTAGCTCTGTAGTAAGTTCTGAAATCAGAAAGTGAGTCCTCCAACCATGTGATTTTTTTCAAGACTGTTTTGGTTCCCATGGGTCCCTTGAATTTCCATATGAGCTTCAGGATTAATTTGTCCATTTCAGCATTAAGAAAAAGCCAGCTGAGAGTAATACAAATTACATCAAAATCTTTTTTACCAATTTGAAGGATTTTTTTTTTTTTGAGATGGGGTCTCACTGTGTCACCCAGGCTAGAATGTAGTGGCGTGATCTTGGCTCACTGCAACTTCTGTTTCCAGGGCTCAAGCGATCCTCCCATCTCAGCTCCTGAGTAGCTGGGACTACAGGTATGTGCCACCACACGCAAATTTTTTGTTATTTTTGGTAGAGATGGGATTTCACCATGTTGCCTAGGCTGGTCTCAAACTCCTGAGCTCAAGCAATCCACCTGCCTTGGGCTCCCAAAGTGCTGGGACTATAGCCATGAGCCACTGAGCCAGCCTTGGATTTTTTTCTCAAGCAACTCATTAGTGTGGTTTGTTGTACAGATAGCTGATACACCACTTCACATGGGTGAGCATCTATTTTGTTATGGGTAAAGAGAAAAGAAGGTGACAACATAGTGAGACCTCCGCTCCACAAAAAAATAAAAACTTCTCGGGAGGCTGAGGTAGGAGGATCCCTTGAGCCCCGGTGGTCAAAGTTGCTGTGAGCAACAATCAGGCCACTGCACTCCAGTCTAGGCGACAGAGTGAGAACCTGTCTCAAGAACAAATAATAAATATAAACAAAACAGGACATTTCCAGGTTGGGCCTCTTTGATTGCATAAAGAGGCTGCTCCGAGTGCTGCCTGCTGCCCTGCCCAGGGCTGGGGAGATTTTGCTGCACTAGGAATGCAGCAGGTTCAGCAACCACTGAACCGAGGATTCTTCCTCTCAGCTCTGGTGCCTCCTGTGTGGAGTAGAGGTTTCCAAGGGAAATGACCTTGGCTGCCTATGTCCCCATGCCGAACAGGAGGCCCAGAGCCAAGGCTGAGAACCTTATGGGTGAAAAGACAAGAGGCTTTAGTTAAGACACAGTAAGCCAAGACTGAGAGCATTCAAGATATTTCACAGATCCTAGGAAGTGTTCTTCTTGGTAGTGACTCTAATGGTAGTTTTTTGTTGCAGTTCTTTCATTCCTAAGAATTCACTGAGGCAATTCTGAATTAGAGAAAATGTACTCCAGGTGTACAACCCTCTTTCCTTTTTTTTTTTTTTTTCTGAGATTGAGTTTCGCTCTTATTACCCAGGCTGGAGTGCAATGGTGTGATCTTGGCTCACCGCAACCTCCGCCTCCTGGATTCAAGCAATTCTCCTACCTCAGCCTCCTGAGTAGCTGGGACTACAGGCTGCGCCACCACCATGCCCAGTGAAGTTTTGTATTTTTAGTAGAGACAGGGTTTTACCATGTTGACCAGGATGTTCTCGATCTCTTGACCTAGTGATCCACCCGCCTCGGCCTCCCAAAGTGCTGGGATTATAGGCGTGAGCCCCCGCGCCCAGCCCGACTCTCTTTCCTATCACATGTAGAGGAGAGGCACCTCAGTGCTGAGAGGTCAGGCAGGCATTCAGGCTGGGGACCGAGGAGACGCGGGGAGGGCAGCGTGCTCCTGAAAACCTCCTACTACCTCTGCCCTCTGAAGACTCCTGCCCACGGTTCTGCCCTTTCTCATCCCCAGGCAGGATCGGAAACAAGTTTCTTGGGTTCACTCAAGACCTGGGCTACAGCCAGGTCAAGTACCTGCTTTATTCGACAGGAAATGCCCAAGTGGGACTCACCCCCGCCTTTCATAGTGTAAAGTTAACAGGGAGCCAGACAGGAAACTAGAAAAATAATGCACGGATCCAGACAATCCAGAAAGACTCTGCCAAATCAGCTTAAGGCCAAGACTGGTCAGCATGAGAAAACAGAAGAGGTGACAGAAAAGCCTTGGGCAGCCCGAGCCACAATGGGCCTAGCGGAAGTAGTTGGGACATTCGTGGGCAACCAAATGCCAGGCTTGATGAAAGGCATCCACGACAGCTGGCTCCAGGGGCCCTTCCTCTGCCGCTGCCAAGTTCTGCTCCAGCTGCTCCAGGCTGGACATGCCCAGGATGACCGCATCCCCATGGGCACCCTGCAAGCGAGACAGCCAGACTTCAACCCTCTTCTGCTGCACGGCGACTCAACTCACACCCCTCCCAGCCACCTCCCTGCTGAGATTTGGGGGTCTCTGTTTATATTTATATCCCGTTATGTCCAAAAAGAATTTAAGGTACCTTGGATAGCTGTACCCATGTGACTTGAAAACTGTATCCTCTCCCCTACTGTCACATGGCGCATCCAGACAGACCTACATTCATGAACCAGTTCTGCCCCCTAGCAGCTGTGTAAAAATGGCTAAGTTGACTGGGCACAGTGGCTCATGCCTGTAATCCCAGCACTTTGGAAGGTCAAGGTGGAAAGAACACTTGAGCCAAAGTGTTCAAGACCAGCCTGGGCAACATAGTGAGACTCTGTCTCTACAAAAAACAACAAAACAAAATTAGCCAAGGGTGGTGGTGTATGCCTTGTCCCAGCTACTAGGGAGGCTGAGGCAGAAGGATCACTTGAGCCCAGGACGTTGTGGCTGGAGTGAGCCATGAGTGCGACATTGTTCTATAGCCTGGGTGACAGAAAGAGACCCTGTCTCAAAAAAATAAAAAAGCAGGTTAAGTTAAGTATGTTTTGACAGTCCATCTTTTCCTCTGTTTTCAGCATTGGTATGAGAGAAACCTTATGTAAAACACAGCTCCCATGTACTGAACAGCTACCGAATATGCCAGATGCTATGCAACATGTAAGGCTGAAGCTGCAGGTAAGTTTGTTGCTGTTAGTTTTGTTGTTGTTTGTTTTTTAGACAGGGTCTTGCTCTGTCCCCAGGCTAAAGTGCAGTGGTGTGATCTCAGCTCACTGCAGCCTTGACTTCTTGGACTCAAGTGATCTTCCCATCCTCCTGAGTAGCTGGGAACACAAGAGCAAACCATCACACCTGACTAATTGTTTTGATTTGTTGTAGAGCTAGGGTCCAACTTTGCTGCCCAGGCTAGGCTCAAATGCCTGAGCTCAAGCAATCCTCCCATCTCAGCCTCCCAAAGTGCTGGAATATAGGCGTGAGCCACCGCAACCAGCTAGGAAATAAGCTTTAACCAGGAAGACATGAGGCACCAAGAGAGGGAAACCAAAAGGGTGAGATGAGTGGGCTTTACAGTTAAATCCGTGTTAAAATGTCTGTCCCTTTAATAGCTGGGTGAACCTCCGTTTCCTCATCAATAACACTGGGATAATCATACTCCACAAAGCCTAAGGAATAAGAAAATCCCTGAAACGAAGCCTTCATTACAAAGTCTGGCACTCAGAGGGGGAAGAATGTTTTGAGAACTGGAAGTAAGAAATTTCAGAGGAATTGAGAAATCAAATGCTTTGGCCTTCACCTAAAGGTAATGCTGGTCCCCCGGAAGGGCAGAAGCTGAGCATTCAGGTCGCTGCCTACCTGCAGCTGTGAATGGTGGTACATCCACTGGAGGGCAGCCGAGGTCATGCTGGGGGCGCGGGCACCATACTCGGCCTGCAGGGCCTTCTCCACCAGGGCAATGGCCTTGAAGTGGTGCTCCTTCCAGAAGCTGGGAAGGAGGGTCAGTGGCACAGGGGTCAGTACCTTGGGGGTCACGCTGGGAACCACAACCAAACAGCCAACCAGGGCCACTGCCCCACCCCACACCCTGTGGTCCTGAGGAGCTGGTGTCCTCTAGAGTCATAGGTCTCCCACTTCGCTGGGCATCAGAACTACCCAGGATGCCAGCCCCCTCACCAGAGACCACAACGAATCTTTACTCCTGAGGACTCACAGCCTGCTCTTATTTTCCCTAGGGACAAGAAGGCCACTCGGACGGGGCAGGTCTCCCTCCAGGGATCTTTTTTTTTTTTTTTTTAAACAAGTATTCATATATTTATTCCACTCTAACACCTCAGAATAGAGAACTGATGCGCAGGCATCGGCTTCTGCTGACAAGTGCCAACCAGAATGAGACTGCTGAGCTGAGGTGGACTCTGTGGTCACTGGAACTGGAACAGCAGGCCCAGTGGCCTCTGGTAAGATGCTGCAACGTGAGGCCCTTGAGAGACACTGACTTGCTGAAGATGAACAGAAAGCTGAGAGCCTCCAGTCCAGCTGTTGAAGAGCAACCACCAGCCAACACCAAGGGGACAGGGGAAGAAGAAGTCCTCCTCTCAACCAACGTCCGGAAGCCCAAGGAAGAGTCCCAAGGTAGTGAAGAAGAGACAAGGAACTCGGGGGAGAGCCAGGAAGAAAAATGCTAAAAAACCCCACAGCTTTCAGAACACCTGAGGAAGGGAGCAGGCCAACACCATCCGGCCACAGTGACCAACTCAACGAGGAACTCCATCAGGAGCTGCAGCTGGACGCATAGAGTGAGGGGATGCCAACCACCTCAGCTCTTTCCCTGAGCACGAGTAGTTTCAGAGCAAGCCTAGAGACTAGGATCCACCAGAGAAGTCTCCAGAGGTCTGACCCAGAGAGCTCAACAACAGGGTGCACCCCATGGTGATGAAAATAAAATGAATCAGTTGTAAAATGACAAAAAAAGTTACAACGTATTGCTTTGAAATCCAGTGGTATATTCACACGTGACATGCCTGGTCACAGAGGTCTCAAAACTGTGTGTCTCCACAGTATAATGTTTGCCTTTGTGTTCACCATTGTATTCCTCAAGACTTAGCGTTAAAAACCTGATAAAAAGTGATTCATCTCCACAATGGGTGTCAGCTCCATCATTTTCCAACGTTAGAGACAACCGAATGTGACTTCACTCCATTTAGTTTCAGAGGCGGCGGACGAGGCAGCAAAAGTTTCGGAGGCGGAAGCTCCAGCATGGCGGCGGAAGCTCTGGCTGTGGCTACAGGGGCAGAAGCTCCCCTCTTATTTTTTTTCTTGACACATGGTCTTCCTCTGTTGCCTATGCTGGAGTGCAGTGGCATGATCATGGCTCACTGCAGCCTCAACCTCTTAGGCTCAAGTAATTTTCCTGCCTCAGCCTCCTGAGTAGCTGGGGCTACAGGTGTGCACCATCAAGCCTGGCTAATTTTTTGTTATTTTTTGGTAAAGATCACATTGCCCAGGCTGGTCTTGAATGCATGAATGCGGCCGGGTGTGGTGGCTTACGCCTGTAATCCAAGCACTGTGGGAGGCTGGAGGCTGAGACGGGTGGATCACGAGGTCAGGAGTTCAAGACCAGCCTGGCCAATATGGTGAAACCCCATTTCTATTTAAAAATACAAAAATTAGCCATGTATGATGGTGTGTGCCTATAGTCTCAGCTACTCGGGAGGCTGAGGCAGAAAAATCACTTGAACCCAGGAGGCAGAGATTACAGTGAGTTGAGATCGTGCCACCACACTCCAGCCTGGGCAACAGAGCAAGACTCCATCTAAAAAAAAAAGAACTCACGAGCTCAAGCAATCCTCCCACTTCGGTGTCCCAAAGTGCTGGGATTACAGGTTTGGGCCACCGCGCGTGGCCCATCCTGGGATCGCTCTTTCCTTCTTAGCAGGTGATTGCTCAGGAAAAAGCTACAACTTCAAGGCCCCAATATCCAGGGGTCCTAATTTCCTCCTGGAGGTCCCAGGACAACAAGAAAACCCACCAAGGATTTGGGAATTCCTGAAGGAATGCAGGGGAGGAGTTCTTACCCCGGGAACAGCCCAGGACTTCATTCCACATGAAGCTGACCCCACACCAGCCATCCTCACCAAGCCCACCCCCAGCTCACCGATTCCTGTAGGTCTCAGCCCAGCTATTCCCAAAGAAGCGGCCCACGGGCTGTTTCCCGTCCTTGTCCTCATATTTGTACTTGCCAGTCAGCAGGCCCCCTGTGGAAAGGCAGCAATCAGCCCCCAGGCCCAGAGTGCCCCAGAAGCTGCCATGTCCCTCAGGACTCTGGACTAGGGGAGGGGCAGGGACCCAGGAGGGGTGAAGGATGCAGCTCAGCCTCTTGTCAAACCCTCCCTGCTTCCTAAATCCTGGGCTGGGCATGAGTGGGTCAGGAATATGCTGAGACAGGGCCAGGAATGCTCCACGTACCAGCCAGAGGGTTGTAGGCATAGAACCTCAGTCCAAAGTGCCTGAGGCAGGGGAAGAGCTCCGTTTCCACCTGCCGGGTGGTGGCGTTGTACATGCCCTGCAGGGAGAGGGACCCCAGGGAGAGGGTGGACATGTCAAGAAAAGGAACTGTACGTTCCCCTGTTAAAACTCTAAAGCAACAGGAGCCCAGGACTTCAGCAATACTCTAACATCACTACTGCTAGAAGTGTATGTTAGACCCAAGGACAGAAAATTGAAGTGGAATGATATCTTTCCACAAGTATCTGGTGTATGAACTCCATGCTGGACACTGGTTACAACCACAAGTAGATGTCATAAAACTCCTGCCTCCACAAGGTGTTATACTCAAGTTTAAAAAAATGGACAAGAAGGCAGTTAATTTCAATAAAGTTAGGTTGTATGATCAAAGGAGGAGCTGAAAAGTACTCGCTTTATGTATGAAGGCAAGGTTTGGAGGCTGGAGACTCCTGTGGGGCTTTCTAGAAAGGCTTCCAAAGGAAGAGACATCTGTGTAAGGCCTGAGTGCTTCTCTCAGGGAGGAGGGCAGGGGAAATGTGCTCCAGGCTGAAGTACAAAAGGAGGTGGGGAAGAAAGGGTCCAAGGTGCACACTCAGGCAGGAAGGAAGCAGATGCCCAGTGGCCAGGCTGAGGAGCTTGAATGGCATCCTGAGGGTACCTGGGAGCCATCTGCAGGTTTCAGCAGGGGAGTGGCTGCTATGCAGAGGGCACGGGGGGCAGTCAGAGGGGCAAAGACAGCCCAGGATGAGTGGGAGTCCTGGAGATTGTGGCCTCTCTAGCCCCGGCCCTCACCTGGTACACAGTGGGCAGGATCCAGCCGTTGCTCCTGCAGAGGGTACAGATCTCAGCCACTTCCCAGGCGGCATAGTTGGAGAGGCCAAGCTCCACGAACTTGCCCTGCATGAGTGAGGCACCAGTCAGAACCCAGCAGCCCAGACCAGGAACGGGAGGCCAGGGTGGGGCCCTGGGTAATAGAGAAGCTCTCTGCTCCACCGTGGAATTGCCCTAGTGCCTCTGCTGTCATGAGTAGGATTGGGATAAAGAAAGGAGCAGGAGCCCGCCTTCGGAGCTTGGAGAGCCCCCTCACCTCCTGGTGCAGCTGGTGGCAGGCGCGCAGCGTCTCTTCCACTGGGGTGCCGTGGTCAGGTGCATGTAGGTAGAAGAGGTCCACTCGGGGACACTGCAGCCTCTTCAATGACATCTCCAGCTGGGACCGGACACTATCAGGCTTTAGTGATTTTCCATCCCAAGGGTTGGCCTTGGTGGCAATTTTCACTTGGAGAGAGAATGGAATGATTAAGTGACCTATTAGAGCCATTTGCTAACCATGTAACCCTGGCTAAATTACTTATATTCCCTTGGCCTCAATTCCATGATTTATAAAATGGGGTGATAATAATCAAACTAAATAAAACAAACTCACAAACAAAATCTTCATTAATAATAAGCAACCTGGCTGGGTGTGGTGGCTCACGCCTGTTATCCCAGCATTATGGGAAGCTGAGGTGGGTGGATCACTTGAGGTCAGGAGTTTGAGACCAGCCTGGCCAATATGGTGAAACCTCCATCTTTAATAAAAATACAAAAATTAGCTGGGCATGGTGGTGTGCACCTGTAATCCCAGTTACTCAGGAGACTGAGACAGGATAATTGATCGAATCTGGGAGGCAGAGGTTGCAGTGAGCCGAGATCATGCCATTGCACTCCACCCTGGGTGACAGAGCAAGACTCAGTCTCAAATAATAATAATAAATAACATGCAGTCAGGTGAGCTAGAAAGAGCGTGGGCCTGAGATTTGCCTTCTTTTCCCCCGACCCACCATGCACTATTACTCTAAGGAGGACCCAGAGAAAACCTCTCTTGAGGTGGGGGAAGCAAGAGCCTCTGGATGGTTGAGTAGATGATGCATGGAAAGGTAACAGCCCACATTTCCTGGGCCCTCACTGCATGCCAGGCACCCTCTCAAGGGCTATCAATGGCACCAGGCTCATGAGGGACAGTCCCCTCCATCCTCCACTCAAGCCACACCTGGCCACTGGCCTTCCTTTCACACAGCACGTACATTGCTTTTCCAAACCAAGCCTTTGCGCAGACTTGAATACTCCTTTCTCTTGTTCTCCTCCAAACTATTTTTTTTTTTTTTCTTTTTGAGACAGAGTCTCGCTTTGTAGCCAGGCTGGAGTGCAGTGGCAAGATCTCAGCTCACTGAAACCTCTGCCTCCAGGATTCAAGTGATTCTCCTGCCTCAGCCTCCTGAGTAGCTGGAACTACAGGCACACACTACCACACCCAGCTTATTTTTGTATTTTTAGTAGAGATGGGGTTTCACTATGTTGGCCAGAATGGTCTCGACTGACCTTGTGAACTGCCTACCTCGGCCTCCCAAAGTGCTGGGATGACAGGCATGAGCCACTATTGAGCCTTTAAGGCCGAGCTCCAGCATTTGCTGAGGCTTCCCTGTACCTCTCCCCAGCCTACAGCTCCCAAAGTACTCTTTCTGGGGTCTCCAGCAATCATTACTTCAATCTTCCCCACTAGACTCTTGAGTTCCCTGTGGAGGGCTGGGGTCACTTTCTCTCCTATGGCCCCATGTCAATTCCTGGCACAGAGTGGATAGAAAGGCCCTACCCACTCACCCGTCTGCACTTCCACCCTACCAACCCTACTCTCCCCGCCAGCCTATGCTGGCATCGCCACAGTTCTCCCTGAGAGAGCCAGAGGTACTGCCAGCTGAACAGAGCAAAGTCTAGGGGATAAGGAATGGCCAGGAAGAGAAAAGGGTGCCCAGGGAATGCATGGGTGATGATGGCAACGAAGGGTAGAGGACAGGCAGAGAGCCTGGTTAGGGACCGGTTACGGACACCT